CTAAAAACCCTACACGATATTTATAAGCTAGTTTGAGAATCACTGACTAGTAAGTACTACTAAAAAGTTCAGAAAAAAATATTTTGAAAACAAAAACAAAATCATAATTTCTAAAACTAAATGCATTTTTTTATGAATTATTTTTTTTTATGAATCTCCTTGCAAACAATCGAATCGAATTTAGGTGTATTTATATTTATTCACGTATAAAATATAAAAAAATCGATTGCGACTAATTTCAACATATTTTTATCCTAAAGGGACAGATATGTGCAAACACTATGTATATATTTTATATGAGAATTCTAAATTTATTTAAATACGTGAAAATTTAATTGTTAAAGCTATTAGCTAGATTCATACAATACAGCTTTTAACTTATTCATTATCTGTTTCTCGGCAACCAAATAATATGGCATGTATGACATCAAAATTACATAATGGGTTCTATTTAAAAACCAAACCACCAACAGATTCTGCCCTTTTTTCTGATATTCTCGTTGACTGAATTAAAAATGTTAGGTGGACTGTCTACAATAGGAATGGCTACATATTCTATCTAGTACTAGGTCTACCGGAATACATTAGAACCGATTTTCTTTGGAAATGTTCAATATGAAAATTCTAACTCATTGATATTCGACATTATATGTCTAACATTACGATCATAACAGAATCAGGTGCGTATGATGACCGGGGAATCTTGTAATATTTACCATAAGGTAATATTTTATTAACTTTTAAAATATCAGAAGTGTCTATAATTTTATTACTCTCACGAGTGCACAATTTTTTATTTATAAATTAAATGCTTTGATCTTTGGAACGAGGTTCCTTATGAGACGATCCGGCTAGGGCACCCCGCGTACCCCCTAACCGGGAAAAAACGTCCGTAACGTAAGATTAGTAATACACACAGTGTACTACTTAACTTTGTAATAACGCACAAAAAATGACATATTTTTATTATATATTTTTTATAAATCATTGTAAATAAAATAAAGTTGATTACTTTGTAAAGTAGTTTATTTTTATTTTTAGCAATAAAAAAAATCAAAAAAAAATGTATACCCTAATAATTATTTTCTTTATACCTCGAATAGAACTTAAAATTAATATTTTTATAATAAGGAACTTCGTTCCTATCCGGTGTCCCACGGCACCACACAACTTTTTTATTATCTATTTAAGATGGCTGTGTGCCTAGAATGGCACCACCTCATCTTTTCCCGGAGGTAACGTAAAAGGCGACTAAGGAATTCACCGAAATAAAATAATCAGTCGCGTTCTCTGAATTCTCGTTCTCGCCAACCGGAATTTACTTATGATAGTACGTATTGTAAGCCCGCACGACGAGATACCATTTTCCAGTTATTTCTACCGCGAAGCAGCTATATACATTACAGTGGGACAGTCGTTATATATCACAATTGAGACTGCGACCTCAAAGTCGATGACAACATTTACATTGTAATCTCTGTGGGTCCAGGTAACCACCCTATTACCAGTACCGGGAGCTCTTTCATCTATTATGTAACAAAACATGAAGCAATCAACCAATTTTAGACTGTGAATACAAAGCAATGGTGGTCCGTAAAAAAAAGAATGGTAGGAAAATAAGAAAGAAAAACTGGGCCCTTGCGATGCTCGCATCTTATTTCACTATAATATTTCGACAATAAAACATTTACAAACACCGATTAAAGCATTCCAATGAATTATTATTAACAAAAATTTCAGTAAAGCATGTCTTGAAAATTGTATTTGCGAATTAATCAAAATTTACGACCATAGATAAGATTACGTCATTGTGTAATGCGATCCCTAATGGTTTTCCCGCATCGTTAACAATCTTAGTATCAAGCGATGCTCGTACCATCGAGAGGAAGCGAGCTATAGTCACCATTCTACCCTTTCAAAACTTTAATTGAGTGTAAACACATCGACTAATGACAATTCTATTATAACAAAGTTAAAGTTTAAACAGCTTTTCTTTACGATTTATATTTTTCAATAATTCTATTGCGTTTTTTTTTTTATTGCCTAGATGTGTGGACGAGCTCACAGCCCACCTGGTGTTAAGTGGTTACTGGAACCCATAGACATCTACAACGTAAATGCGTCACACACCTTGAGATATAAGTTCTAAGGTCTCAGTATAGTTACAACGGCTGCCCCACCCTTCAAACCGAAACGCATTACTGTTTCACGGCAGAAATAGGCGGGGCGGTATCAATATTTTTTAGAATTTTAATATTTAAATAAGCGACAATTGAATATTATTATTTACATTCCATTTCGGGATTATTATCAATTTAACGCGTTCTCTCTGAACATTTGTCAAAATGAAATTCTTCTAAATATAACCTACTCTACGTATTGAATTAGATTTACCTATTTTAATCTACTTAAAACCCTTCATAGAAGTTTCAAATCCATTACGTTAGATTCCCTTTGCCGTTACTAAGGAAGCGCTAGGGAGTCGATAAACCGAAACATAGTTGCAAATTTAAGGTCGAAATCACTTTGCCCGTTCTGGGAATCATTTATCTAAGAGCTGCCCCCCTACGCCATCAAAACTAAATCATGTAGGGCGAGGAGCATAAAATCGGCCGCCCTTGTACTTAGATAAATGTTAAAGGAAGTTTGATTCAGTCGCACGACACCGCACGTCGGAGGCGGCCACAAGTCGCGCCCCGACCCCAACGTAACGACATCTTTATACTGAGATATCTCTCTATTTGACTACGACTCATATCTCAGAGTGGAGGGCACTTAGTGGAACATTATTGGAAAAGGCGAACCCACTTTTCAATTCGAATGAAATTCTTTATTACGTACCTTTATTTGGGCTACTCTTTCTATATTCATCATACATTATAATAGCAACATATTCTATATGTAATTATTTTAGGTAGGACTTTCAAGGACATTTTTTTTTTCTTATTCTTACTGTCACTCAAAGATATTTATTTCCAATGACAGTTGACACCAGAGAAATTTGTCGTGTAAGTTGCAAAATAAACTGCAACATGAAAACGTGGTGCACAGATCTAATAAGGTACCACGAAGAAAAAAAATTAAAGTATTTATAAATTGCCAGACATATAATTAAAACCATTTTCAATACTTAATCTTGCCTTTATTATCTTCATTTTATTATTATTTTCCATATGTAATAGCACAATATCCATATGAAAAACCAGTTTTTATTCGAAAATCGAAGAAAATGCTTTAAATTCATGCATAAGTAATAAAACACTCGTAATGGTAATTCAAGAAGTTTTGTTGATGTTCTAACGCTATTAACCTGTAATTACTCGTTTGAGTTCAAAAAGCAGAGGAGGCTGATCATAGCCAACATTGTGAACTGCGAGGTGGGGGTCCGTCTGAAGATGGGCGGGAGACGGTCAGCATCTGGTTCGGTAATTAAGCGCATCTGCCTACGTTCAATTTTGAAACGGTGGATGAGAGTTACCCCGCGCTTTCGGGTCCATTCTGCAGGGTGCGAGCAAATTGCTAAACTTTCAATTAAAGAGTTGTTATTCAAACCGCCTCGCTCCACGATGGAATTATATTTTATTTCACAACGGAAATTCTTATTGGCACTCGTTCTCCGCTCTACATAGCTACAGCTTAACGATCCGAAAGGAAAGCGTCGAAATTTATTAGCAACTGTCTGTTTTAAATAATTTGCGAGGCTGGATTTCGGAAGCGGCTTAAATATTATAACTGGATGATCTGTTAATTGTAACGGATCCCGAATTATGATCGAGGAAAATTCTATCGTTGGATATTGAATGGTTCCTATTAAAATTTAATAATTGTTTTTGTTTCTTCGATACCTAATAATTGATTTTGTTGATTTAACCAATTCAGTGTTTTAACTTATAATTCTTAATTGCATTTAACGCGAAGTATTATTAAGCCTATTTTCTTATCAAAATCTCGTTTGGATGCTATTTAAACAATTTAACTTTTAATAAAAGACAGTTCTTATAGTTACGATTGACTAATATGCTAAATGGTAGTTACTCCGATTTAGGATTTTTTTTATTGCCCTTATAGGCAGACGAGCATACGGCCCACCTGATGGTAAGTGGTTACCGTCGCTCATGGACTTCAGCAATGCCAAGAGCAGAGCCAAGCCGCTGCCTACCGTAGATACCGTTGATTTCTATTATTTGATTTACATGGAAAGATATCACAATGTAACCAATCTTAAGACATGACATGATGACCGCCCTGCATATTTCTGCCGTGACGCAGTAATGCGTTTCGGTTTGAAGGGTGGGGCAGCCGTTGTAACTATATTTGAGACCTTAGAATTTATATCTCAAGGTGGGTGGCGCATTTACGTTGTAGATGTCTATGGGCTCCAATAACCACTTAACACCAGGTGGGCTCGTACACCCAACCAAGCAATAAAAAAAGAGGTCTTACTCTCAATCTTACGTGCCGTGCGAATTCAAATTCAAATTCAAAATCATTTATTTCAATTTAGATGTCAGTATAACACACTTGTTGAATGTCAAAATATAAATAACAATGTTAACTCTACAACCGGTTCCAAAAAAAGCCATAGTCCTGAGAAGAACCGGCGAAACAAACTCAGCGGGCTTTTTTTTGTTTTTTCTCAAAAAAAATTTTTTAATAAGTGAAAATATTTGCAATAAACGAAAAAACAAGTCAAAAAATACAATTACAAAATAATAATAATAATGAAAAATGAAAAGGCCAGGAGCGAACGCCTCATTCCCACGTAGCGTCATCTAGTAGATAATCCTTAACTTTATAATATGCCTTGTTGCATAAACCTATCAAGAACAATTATCAAGATGCCCTACCTCCAGAATCACATCTCGAAACATGGCCGCCACATGGCCGCCTTACCCTTCAGATCGGAACACTCGAATACTCAGTGGCTTACATTAGCTGTGTACACTGTACTTTATTGATTGTTGTTTGTTTCAGCAATACCAAGTCAACGTGGTTTTTCGGCTCGATGTGCGTCCGCAGCGCGAGGAGGGAGCATGCTGGTGCACCTCTTAATACTTAGCACCGCTCTCGCGGCAGCCAACTCCGGTAAACACGGTATGAAAAACATTTGATTTCAAAACAAACGTACAACCACAACTACATTTGTATATCACAAATTTTCATGCAATATCTAATATAGATTATTTAATTTCATCGGATTTATTTATTATCAAAATATTGATCGTTAAGGCATTACATTCACTATGCCCTTGTTCTTTATTGATTTTTTAAGGTATTTTATGATCTGGTAACTGAGACCTTTAAGTCATGTTTTATTTTAATTTAAATTTAATTTTTTGAAAAATGATATTATGGAGTGAAATGAAATGAAGATGATTAATTTAAGACATTAATCAACTGGGATGAAATTAAATAAAATGAAATGAGATGATATGAGATGAAATATAATTTCAGTAAAATGGTGGTCATTTACTAAGATTTTTTCAGTGGACTTTTTGGAGGATCCCGAGAAGTTACGTCCAGCGGCTTTGTTTCATTTTCCCACATTTGTGCACTTTCACAGATATTAAACAGTAATTATACCACCATTATTACACATTTAAACCCGAAGAAACACTAAATAGACAAAATAAAACAATCACACAACTTCACTCCTCGCGTTCCCGCCAAAAAGTCGTCCTTTATTGATCTCTTATTCGACCATAGATTATATAAGAGTTTTAATTCTAACTACGACTTTGACGCAAACGTATACTTTTCTTGCGACATTTTTTATTTACGGAAGCGGAATATACGGAAGAATCAAAAATTTACATTTAACATTTACTCTCAGTGACTTCGTCAACGACTTCCGTTTTGGCGCTATGTACTGTATTGTTATATTTGTTACATATTGCTAACAGTATTTACTTGTTAAAACGCACTTGTCAATTTAAATAAAAATCATGTTCAAGGTAATTAAAACGCAACTATCGAGCAAAAAAAACAAAATCAAAAGTGTTCCTTTATTATTATTATGTGTATGTAGTTCAAGAACAAAGGTATATAAAAGATTAAGACGCGAAATTACATTTTCGCTAAAAATTAATACAATGATATGAATCACCTATTGAATGACCAATTTAAGAATTCCATAGACAACGAGTTTCGTATTATAGTTAATCATAGTACAATAATGGTTACGTAACAATTATCGAGGCTGAAACGAAATTTTCGAGTTTTTTCGAATTGTAACAGACGGAAGCTTGTTGAAATTTTTTTGCAGTGTTACGTCTGACAGCCTTTATAGTGTTAGTTTAACACTGAGTGAGTCACGGAAAAATCAGCCCAGTGTGGATGAACGAACTTTTTTAGTGTTCAGAGGGGTCGATGAACTCCCAGCCCACTGGGCGAATTGTTAACCGGAGCCCACCTTGAAATTGAGGATTATCTCTCAATTGTGTACTAATCACGCAAATCAGAATCTATACGGATCTTATTTTATTACTTCAAGGTAATAGTTATTCGTGGACATAATTACGTATTCCATCACTTTTATCAATTTATATACATAAAATATAATATATATGTATTTTTATATTTTATATATTTTGTCAACCAGAAGAAGCTTAGAATTTTCGAAAATAAAAGTGATACTTAAGCATAGAGATAGTTCAAATAAATTGCGCAAACAGAATACCTGTTATTTCGTACGTATATATTTCCTTGGAAATTGTTTCATGTAATGAAGTTCCTATAATATAGAATGAAAAGCAGATAGGTCAGCTCGAAATAAGTAATCATAAAGTAGTTTTCTTAATCCTTAGCACTAGTTCTATTACTAGTATTGTTTACGATAACGATTGCGATGTACTAATCGAAAAAATACAATAAAATATTAACATTGACCTAATTTCATATTTTCAAACCTCCCACTTCGATCATACTAAAATAGTACTACAAATAATAAAACCTTGCAAATAATTGAATGCCGTAATAATAAAACCTTACCTCTGAGTAACAAGTTTAGTAAAATAACATTTCCATTGTTCACAGTTATGAGAGAAATTATTCAAAAACGCCTTATAGGGGCAAAAAGAATAATTTAAAAGCCAGTCGCTGTTGTTTGCAAATAATAAGAATATAGACTTTGAAAGTTAAAAAATTCGCGTTAAATTTGCATAAACCTTGCGTAGCCACGTTCTGTTTTTTTTTCCACTTTTATTTTTATCTCATCTTTTATACGCTCCGTGTTGAACTTGTTTTATTAGAAGAATTTTCTGGCTAACTAAATCACAACTTTATTAAATATGATTTACAAATTTATTTGGAATGCTCACAGTCCTTAGAAGACTTTAAGAAAATTGAGGCCGTCAGCGCCAAAGTGGCATAAGCTTACCATAGTTATTATGGAGAAATGAGATTTATGTTTTCTTGAATTAGAATTTGAGTAGGCAAAAAAACAATACGCGCAAAAATAATGTTTACACAGCCATCTGATTCTGTTATCTATGAGTGAAACTATGGATAGGCCGGTTTTGCATAAAAATTTATAATATTTTAAATAAATTGCAATATACATAATTGCAATAAACATGATTATGAAAAATTGTGGGTTAGGCCACTTTTGCGCTGACGGCCTCAATTGTGAACGCTATGCTTATGCTTCTTTCATTTTAAGAAATCCTAGTTTGATACCCGAGCTCTACCCCTCGCATAGTTTATGGAAAGAGAAACACGTGTTATCCCGTCGCTAAGCCAGCCAGATCAAACATGACGGTGATCTACACTTCCGAGTGAGGCGTCCGCTAATGCCTACCAAGCCACCTATATTTTTTTTCTGTTCGACTTACTCCCTTCACTCAAGCGTAGCAACAGGAAAAGGAAAGCACTTTTATTAACAGAAATTCCAGCGGGATAGAAATCAATCGGAAACGTTCCCAATTTTGCTGTGTTATTTATTTTTCAAAGGTAGAAGATAGCAAAATAGTTTTTACATGTAATAATACCTTGTCAAATCACTAAATGAAACAATGAACAGCTTTAATAATTCAATAGAATCGTTGGAAAATACAATTTTTATTTATTAATAAACGTTTTCTTCTGTATCTAACGATCAACATAAAAAAAAACACCTAAAATGTATTAGATCGTTGTAATAAAACATTCAAGAATGTTATTAGAAAAGTAAGAAAATTCATTTGACAAATTTAGGAATATAAAATGAAAACAAACACACAGGAGTAGACAACTGTTTAGATAAAATGAAAATACCGAACGTAGCATTGCCTTTGTGAACTTAGAACTGTATCCCTAGAGGTTTATGTCTTTTCGGATCAGAAGGCTTACCAGAGGACGCGCGAAGAAAACTCCTTTCCCTCATAAATATTTACTTTATGAAATAACGCGTCCCGAGCTCGGCTTAGTCTTCGCCCTACACTGGCTGCCGACAGGTGATAACTGACGAATACCGAAAAATGTTTTTTTGCTATTAAGAAATATGCTTTCAACGCATCCTGCGTAACGGGGTCGGTAAATTAAGAAGAAAGCCTCATTTTAAATATTGATGAAAATGAAATGAAATTTTGAAAAACTAAACACGACCAGAATGTTTTAGGCAAATTTCAATTTATCAACATTTCTTTTTTTTATTGATTGAATGGGTGGACGAGCTCACAGCCCACCTGGTGTTAAATAGTTACTGGAGCCCATAGACATTTACAACGTAAATACGCCACCCACCTTGAGATATAAGTTCTAAGGTCTCAGTATAGTTACAACGGCTGCCCCACCCTTCAAACCGAAACGCATTACTGCTTCATGGCAGAAATAGGCGGTGGTACCTACCCGTGCGAACTCACAAGAGGTCCTACTACCACCAGTAATTACGCAAATTATAATTTTGCAGGTTTGATTTTTATTACACGATGTTATTCCGTGGAAATCAATCGTGAACATTTCTTAAGTGCGTATTTCATTAGCGAAATTGGTACCCACCTGAGATTCGAACACCGGTGCATCGCTAGATACGAATGCATCAGACGTTTAATCCTTTAGGCTACGACGATTTCAAAATTTTTATTTTTGTTATTTTCCTTTAGGCAAACTTTCGAAAATAACTAATAAAAGTATTTTCGCTTGATTTGCTGATTAAAGAAACTTCTCACTCTTTTACATTACATTACATTACAAAACAATAATAATGGAATCCGAATATTACTCTAATGAATTAATACAATATTCATTGAACGCATCGCAAATCAACCGGACTCGACGACATGTGAAATACTCATTGCTGATTGGTGCATGCGCTATGACGCCATCCTCGAACAATGTATTGCAACGTTGAAAAGTTACGTCCAATTAGCGGAAATCGATGACGCATGAATCCACTTTCCGAACGAGCGATTTTGGGAATCACTGTCAACGTTCAAATTCCAAATTCTTTATGTACTGTATACGCTACGCTTAACCAAAATTTTCTGGAGCGGCTCCATCCCATAAACAAACGTTGTAGTCTATAATTGAACATTATCCAATATAACTTTCACAACAAAACATATTTGAGTTTGACTGAAAAGCGAAATATGGCTAGCTCTGATTCTCTCCAAACCTTTACTTGAACCTCGTTAAGCGTGCAATGATTATTCTATAAATAAAATAGTTAGACTTTCCAAGAAAATGGATAATCATTTCACCGTTTCAGTTTTTCGTTTTGAAGTTAACAAATATGAAAATATATTTGCGGAAATCGAATTGGAGAATATCATAAAAGAAGATCTGCGTCATTGTAAGTAATGGGAAAACGGCTTAGAGCAGAAAGTTACTAAACTGTATGTTGGTCGATAAGATCAAATAATAAATCGCAAAACAATGAACATCTTCAGAACGAATACGTCCTACACTTTTACTAGTATGTTTATTAAGTCATTCAATTGAATGTGTATTAACGCATCAAATGTTAAATTTAATAATCTTTCTGCATTAATGTGAAAGATCAAAGCCTTGTTATAGGTTCTCATATAAAGTCTTGGTTCAGGTTGCCACAAAGAAAATTCGCTTTTCGTGTATCGTCTGGGAAACAAAGGAAATGAACACACCAATAAGGGGAATTC